AAAGTTGGACGGTACATGGTAGGGGTATATTGCAAAGTTGGACGGTACACAGTAGGGGTATATTGCAAAGTTGGACGGTACACGGTAGGGGTATAGTGCACAGATTGAAGGTCCAACTGACACCAGGGGTATTTCACAGAAGGGTGTTTTTTGTCAGATGGGCATTCCTCCCGATTCACATTTTTTAGGGGCATGTTGGCACATATCTCCACTTCTGGATGTATTTTGCAAATTATCCCTTTTTTGTTCAGTCTCTTTTTTCTTTTCTGTGGACCATCTCTCAATTTATGTGTGTCATGCTCGTGCAGGGGCATGCTAAATCTTCCCTTTATCATACCATTTTTTTTCCTTTTTTTCTTTTCTGTGAAAGTCTTCCCTTTATCATTCCATTTTTTTTCTTTTTTTTCTTTTCTGTGAAAGTCTTCCCTTTATCATTCCTTTCTTTTTTTTTTTTTTTTTTCTGTGAAAGACCAGGAGCATGCCCAGCCTAGCTTGTATATTACAAAAGCCAGGAAATGGGCCTGCCGTCCCTCACAAAAAAGTAGGTGGTGGTCCCTTGGGACATCCCTTAAAATTGGAACGATACAGAGAAGGGCAAATTAGCAAATGGCCTTTGTGCAAGGATGACATGCATAAATCCAGAAAATGTGGTCCTCCTGGGCAAGGCATGCCCGGCCAAGCCCTAAAACAATACCACGAAAATAATAATAATAATAACAATAATAATAATAATAATAATAATAACAATAATAATAATAATAATAACAATAATAATAATAATAATAACAATAATAATAATAATAATATGCTGTGGAAAACCAGCACTAAAACCACCATGGAATCTATGGCACAACTGGCAGAAGAGACAGGTAAGAAGACCTAAGTTTGCAGCCCGTCAGGGTTGCGTTTTATGCCCCCGAGTCCTTCACCGTCAATTCATCGTTCAACGTCGGTCGTTCGGGAGGGTGGACAAGCAAGGGGGCGGGTCACACGAAGGACCGCTATGTTGGACCGTTCGTGAGATGAAAAAAAAAAGGAAGAGGCACCAGGGCCTGGAGGTTGGAAAAGCCGAAACGGCGCGGCCCAGGCCTGCACCTTTCAAGCCCCGCCAGCACGGCCCAGGCCTGCACCTTTCAGGCCCTGTCAGCACGGCCCAGGCCTGCACCTTTCAGGCCCTGCCAGCCCACTCCCGCCCAGCGGGCGCCCCCTTCCACTGGAGGTTTCTTCTGAATCTGGACTTCTTACTGCGCCAGATTCAGAGCCGAAGCAGCTCTCTCTCTCTCTTTCTCTCTCTTTCTCTCTCCCTCCCTCTCTCTCTCTCTCTCTCTCTCTCTCTCTCTCTCTCTCTCTCTCTCTCT